ACAAGTCTCCCACCACACAATTCCTCTTCCTTTCACCTCTCGTGAGTCCCTCGATCCTCCGCGGATCCTTTAGTATCGAATTCGATACTAAAGAACAAGGATCAAATAAAGTGTCTTTGGCAGAGTCTTAATAGCATTGACTATCATTTTAGGAAAGGAACTCACAGCCCCCTCCCCCCATTAATATGAAATCTTCTATTATACAAAAATATTTTGCGGTATTCAGTACTGAGAACATAATGGATAGAAACAAACTCCAGATGATAGAGAAGAATTTGGGCGGAGGGCAGTTGGATGAGGATTAAGAAATGCTTTAGCTTGCCTTGTGTTGTATAAGAAAATGTAAAGAATTAGTTGTATGTTTAAAGATTAGAAAGTGATCATTTTGAATGTACAGAACAGCAGCACCTTTCTGGTGACATTAGAAGTATGTTGGTTGGAATTGTCGCTATGCTTGAAGTATTTTATATAGATATTGGTTCAGAATCTAAACGGTTTGCAGAAAATACAATATTAGACTGGTTTTATACAGATTCAGGATTATGAATCTGAAAATTAATGTCATTAAAGTATAATACAGTTGGGGATGACAAGGAAAATAAACTGAACAATTGATACTTGTGATATATGTGATGAAGATCCATGTAAACCTAAAGAAAGATGTGACTGCTTTAATGAGTTGCAATAAAGATGTGGCTTTCAATAAGCATAGATTGGCCTTGCACAGAAACCTGAAAAATGTCACCACTACTTTAAAGGGAAACTCTGATACATTACGTACTAAATCATTTTTAAGCATGTCTGGGCCTAACATTTACACCCTTCTTGATAATCACAATTCTTAGAACAAGTTTGTATCCCACATTTATTATTTTTACAAATAACTCAAGGCAGCAAACATATCTAGCACACCTTCCCTCTCCTATTTCCGACACAACAACCCTATGAGGTTAGTTGGGCTGAGAGAGAATAAAGTGGCCCAAGATCACCCAGTAGTCTTTCGTGGATAAGGTGGGTACTGTATATTCCAAATACAAAATGATAGATGAGTAAGAATCTTGGAATTCCTGACCCAAACTTTCAATATAGTCCTCTTATACTCCTGAATCCCATAATCAGAGAAGAGGCACAGGAATGGAATGTGACAAGGTATACAAAGCATCCTCAAATATTATTCATACCATTTTGCTACTGCCTACAGAGCTTAGGGCATTTTAATGCATTTTAATAAGGAAAATGCTTTGTTTGTGCTAATTTAATTTAAGGGTAAAATGATTGGTATAAGAAATGGATTTTTTTTGTTTTAAAACATGATTATTAATATTTGAAATGCTTTAACCTTCTAGACCCTTAAGATTCTGAAAATCTTAAACCTTTATAAAAGAAATCCAAACAGGGCTTTTTCCATTTGCAATTTATTTGAATAATGTTGATCTTTAATCAATCTGTAATTCTAGTTTTATTTTTAAAGCTTTACTCATTCTATTTTGTTTCCTAGGTTTAATAGGGGAATAATACACTGAAATATATAGTATTCATATATATAGACTATTTTAATGTATTTCTAATAAAATGTATATATTTTGAAGATATCCACATGCAATATATTTTGCTGCTTCTGAATTTACTTATTCTTACAGGGTTTTCTGTTATTCTTCAAATAAAAAGGGTTCTTTTAACAGAAATGTTTATTGTATTCCTCTCTCCACCAATATGCTTTCTGTTCATTATAAGTATTCTGCAAGCTTTTCATCAGTTACAATCATGACTCTATTTTAAAATTAAAACTGAGACATTATACAGTGAGGTCAGTTTGTTCTTTAAATGAACTCTGTGTGGATTTTAAAAATCAAGATCCTTTATGCGTCTCCCCTGGACAATATATTTATGTTGGGTCTGATAGCAATCAATGGTTTAGCGTCATTGCATTTCAAGATGTATTTGCACCCAGTTGTCCAGTGATAGTGTCCTCACCCTGGAAATAATTTAGTTGCAAATTGACTGGAAGATGGTGAAAATTGAAAGTTAAAATTAGAAATACTCATAATAAACAGCAGAAAAAAGGTCAGATGATGCCACACTATGATGAGATTGGAATGGTTGGTAAATGAGGTTTTGTGTTTGTCATGAGATGTATGTGACCAGACTACTCAATGCTGTTGAAATATTCAGCCAAGCAAAAGAGACTACCCTACAAATTGATGCTGCAAAGAATTTTCTTATGATCTAGGAAGTTATAATTGCATTCTTTTCTTTCATGTGTACTAACCCGGCTACATTAAGAGGCTCAGTCAGGCTGAATATTAATTGTATTATTAGTACATACTATTGTAGCATTTAAGTACAAAACAAATTTTAGTCTGTGCCTCAGCATTATTTATCTTTGTGTGATTAAGCTGGTGCTTTTTCTTTTAAATGAATTATAAAATAGTTATGCCTACATTATATCTATTGAAATCAGTGGGATTTAATTAGTCATGAATAACATAAGTCCCATTGATTTCAGTAGTCTAGAGGTATGATGAAAACTATTTGATTCAATATTTATTATATGTTGTGCAATAATTGGAAATAATAGACATCTTATCTGAGCAACATGACAAATATATTCTTAATTAGAGACAGGGAAAAGAGGAATATTTGGAAATTAATTATTTTGGAGCAAGAATTGAGGCCATGATTTTGTTTTGTACAATGTGGTGTAAAATTTCCGAGTGAAATACTAGAGAGATCTAGTTATTGATTACTGTTTAGGGCAGAATAAGGTTAGCTAAACAAGAAAGAAGAGTACGTTTTTTAATGTATTTATAGAGTTTGCTCTGCTTCAGAGATAAGTGGGCTGTCACCTTTGTACCTGTTCAGTTTCAAAAAGAGTTTTGCTGTAAGAGGAAAACCTGCAATATTTAAAAGAATCTTGTAGATCATAGCATAGGTTCTAATGACAATCATAGCTATTAATATATTCTTGCATGTTGTTTTGGAAGCAGGAATAAACACACCAGAGAAGGAACCAAAACTAAATATTGCAGCAGGGGAACAACCACTACTTCCAGCTAAAGAAGATGGTCCACCCAAAAAGACCAAATTTTCTGAAGAAAATAAGTTTGGTCATGACCAGGTAAAAAGTATTATTACAATATTTCTATATTAGGGTTTTATTTATGAACAATTTTAGTGAAATACTTTAATTCTTCATGGGCTTTATTTATGCAGTTAGCAATTAGCATAAAATGTTTTTCA